TTCGTCAGTCCCACACAGGATTATTTGAGGTACAATCCCATAGATCTTGTCAAGTGGATCTAGACAATAAAACATGCACTTGCCGTGGGTGGGATGTAACCCGTGTCCCTTGCAAACATGCATGCGCATCCATTATGTTTATGAAAAGGGATGTCTACCAGTTCTGTGACTGGTTTATGACGGTTGAAGCCTTTAAAAAGAGCTACGAGCCAATCCTCTACCCTATCCCTGACTTTGAGAAGCGCATCGTGCCAAGGGATGAGATACAGATCCTACCTCCACTTACAACAAAAAGGAAAGGGAGAAATAAAACCAGGCGTATCAACAACAGAACTGTTTACACGCGGCCAGTAAAATGTTCTCGATGTCATATGGAAGGTCATAGCCGTAAAACATGTAATGAATCTATAGCTGACTAAGTGTTTGGTATGTTGAAGTGTTTTCGTCCCAGTATGCAACAAATATTTTGTTTTTTTCCGATTGAATGTTTATTCTTGTTAATCGGGAACTAACATCAGCTTACACTAGATAAAAAGTTTTAAGTAACAAAACAACTATCATATTAGGCCAAACACGCACAAAGAATAGAACTAACATCTCAGTTATTCGATGCGCTCGAGGGGCTAGGAGTAACAAGCCAAAGAATAGAACTAACTTGGTATCAGATAGTACTAACATGTAATAAAGCAGAACTGACTTGAATCGGAACATGTTATAGAATAGAACTAACACTCTACAGATTAGAACTAACACGCTACAGAGTAGAACTAACATTGTGCAGATTAGAACTAACACTCTACAGAATAGAACTAACACTGTGCAGATTAGAACTAACACTCTACAGAATAGAACTAACACTGTGCAGATTAGAACTAACACTCTACAGAATAGAACTAACACTGTGCAATGTTAGAACTAACACGCTACAGAATAGAACTAACACTGTGCAGATTAGAACTAACACTCTACAGAACGGAACTAACACTGTGCAGAATAGAACTAACACTCTACAGAATAAAACTAACACTCAAACTTGGTATAAAATAGAACTAACTTTGTATAAATTAGATCTAACATTGTATAAAATAGAACTAACTTGGTATAAATTAGGTTTATAACGTTGTAAAAAATAGAACTATCTTGGTATAAATTAGAGCTAACGTGGTATAAATTAGATATAACGTGGTATAAATTAGGTTTATAACGTGGTATAAAATAGAACTAACTTGGTATAAATTAGAAATAACTTGGTATAAAATGAGATATAACGTGGTATAAATTAGGTTTATAACTTGGTATAAAATAGAACTAACATAAATTAGATATAACGTGGTATAAATTAGATATAACGTGTAATAAAATAGAACTAACAAGCCATCACACGCTACAGAATAGAACTAACACTGTGCAGAATAGAACTAACACTCTACAGAATAGAACTAACACTGTACAGATTAGAACTAATACTCTACAGAATAGAATTAACACTGTGTAGATTAGAACTAACACTCTACAGAACAGAACTAACACTGTGCAGATTAGAACTAACACTCTACGGAACAGAACTAACTTGGTATAAATTAGAAATAACATGGTGTAGATTAGAACTAACTTGGTATAAATGAGATATAACGTGGTATAAATTAGGTTTATAACGTTGTAAAAAAATAGAACTATCTTGGTATAAATTAGAGCTAACGTGGTATAAATTAGATATAACGTGGTATAAATTAGGTTTATAACGTGATATAAAATAGAACTAACACAAATTAGATATAACGTGGTATAAATTAGATCTAACGTGGTATAAATTAGGTTTATAACGTAGTAAAAAATAGATCTAACTTGGTATAAATTAGATCTAACGTGGTATAAATTAGGTTTATAACGTGGTATAAAATAGAACTAACTTGGTATAAATTAGAAATAACTTGGTATAAAATGAGATATAACGTGGTATAAATTAGGTTTATAACTTGGCATAAAATAGAACTAACATAAATTAGATATATAACGTGGTATAAATTAGATATAACGTGTAATAAAATAGAACTAACAAGCCATCACAAGCTACAGACTTGAACTAACACTGTGCAGAATAGAACTAACACTGTGCAGATTAGAACTAACACTCTACAGAATAGAACTAACACTGTGCAGATTAGAACTAACACTCTACAGAATAGAACTAACACTGTGCAGATTAGAACTAACACTCTACAGAATAGAACTAACACTGTGCAGATTAGAACTAACACTCTACAGAATAGAACTAACACTGTGCAGATTAGAACTAACACTCTACAGAATAGAACTAACACTGTGCAGATTAGAACTAACACTCTACAGAATAGAACTAACACTGTGCAGATTAGAACTAACACTCTACAGAATAGAACTAACACTGTGCAGATTAGAACTAACACTCTACAGAATAGAACTAACACTGTGCAGATTAGAACTAACACTCTACAGAATAGAACTAACACTGTGCAGATTAGAACTAACACTCTACAGAACAGAAATAACTTGGTATAAATTAGAACTAACTTGGTATAAATTAGAACTAACTTGGTATAAATTAGAACTAACTTGGTATAAAATGAGAACTAACTTGGTATAAATTAGAACTAACTTTGTATAAATTAGATCTAACGTTGTATAAAATAGAACTAACTTGGTATAAATTAGGTTTATAACGTTGTAAAAAATAGAACTATCTTGGTATAAATTAGAGCTAACGTGGTATAAATTAGATATAACGTGGTATAAATTAGGTTTATAACGTGGTATAAAATAGAACTAACTTGGTATAAATTAGTAAATTAGATCTAACGTGGTATAAATGAGATATAACGTGGTATAAATTAGGTTTATAACTTGGTATAAAATAGAACTAACATAAATTAGATATAACGTGGTATAAATTAGATATAACGTGTAATAAAATAGAGCTAACAAGCCATCACATGCTACAGAATAGAACTAACACTGTGCAGAATAGAACTAACACTCTACAGAATAGAACTAACACTGTGCAGATTAAAACTAACACTCTACATAATAGAACTAACACTGTGCAGATTAGAACTAACGCTCTACAGAATAAAACTAACACTGTGCAGATTAGAACTAACACTCTACAAAATAGAACTAACACTGTGCAGAATAGAACTAACACTCTATAAAATAGAACTAACACTGTGCAGAATAGAACTAACACTCTACAGAATAGAACTAACTTTGTGCAGAATAGAACTAACACTCTACAGAATAGAACTAACCATGTGCAGAATAGAACTAACACTCTACAGAATAGAACTAACACTGTGCAGAATAGAACTAACACTCTACATAATAGAACTAACATGTTATAATATATAACTAAAAGGGTGCAGATTAGAACTAACACAACATTAGTTATACTAATATATAAGAACTAACACGGTTCTCTGTATTTGGGTTAAGATTTGTAACAAACTGTTTTCTGGATAAGCAAAATTTAACAAGAACTAACACGCAATGATGTCATGTCTTCATTTGTTGCTGCCCTCGCTGGATCGGTTTGGGTCTAATAAACACTTTTCGCTGTCACTCGCCTTCCTTTTCGAAGGTCCTGGCTTACTACGCTTTGAGGAAGGAGAACTGGATTCTGCTGAGCCACTATGGGAGACGACGGGGTGTAAAGGGAGAGGAACATTGCCGGTAGGGAGAGACCTCGGAGAATTGGCACCCCCGACCCCTTGGTTACGGAGAAACAGCTGCCATTGGTCTCTCTCGACCGTCATGTGTTTGCTACCCCAATTAACCTCAATTAACTCGAGGTCGGTCCTAAAGGGCTGCGCACGCTGGGGCCCTAAGTTGAGTCGTGTGGATTCCTGAACCCTCTCTAAATTCCCCCCGCATTGGACTTACGTGATGGCGTATCCTTCCCTGGTGTTACCGTCCACCGGCGAGATGTAACGGAACCCAAGCCTCTTAGGGATTTTAGATAAATCCCTAACCTTGAGTAGAACTCTACAGTCTTTGAAGTTAGAATGTGTTATGACGTCCCTGGAGCACATGACACATTCACCGATACCAATGAGCAGAGATTGAAGAAATTCAAAATTCCAGAGGTGGTATGGGAGATTGAATAGGCGAATCCATACTAGAAAGGGTTGAGGCAACGTTGTTAGCCTCAGATCCTCTTTCCAACGGTGGAATCTGCCCTTAAATGTGCCCATATCTATCAAACCGAGTTCAATAGCTTGGGCAAGAACTTCATCGGATGGAAACTGCACCATGAAGCTGTGCCATGCCACCTCCTTGATTTGATGGGGCCATGTCCTAAGATTGAAGCGGTAGGCCAGCATCTCTCAGAGCTCCTGCACAGATGGATGGCCTCTATCAAGATTGAAGATGACACATGAAGAAAGATGCCGTATGGTGCTGGAGGTGTTGGCCGGGACGGTAAGCATCCTCGGAGGGGCACGAGCGGTAATTCCATGATGACAATCTCGAGAGCTATGTCCTGTCCCATGGCAGTGTACACAAAAAGGATCCCCAGCCATTTGTGAGGGTATACGATGAAAATAGATGACGCTGGGTTGCCAGTTTTAGCAGGGGGAGGGGTTTGCAGAGGCGCCTAGGGTGGGGCCAGTAGAAGAATGGTGGTGACCGTACTATCGATGCCCGTTCGTATTTGGTATTTAAGTTAATTAATTTATTTAACTGACTTGGGAACAAGCGAATATATGATGTGACATGTTTGTGTGATGGAACCGTCGCTTCGAAAGAAGTGAGCAGCTGGAGGTCTGAAGATAACTTAAATAATTAAAAAATTAGAACTGGCTCTGAGATAGAACTAACGAGCATGGTACAGAATAGAACTAACGTTGAATGAGTTAGAACTAACGAGCATCACTAGAACGAACATGGTACAGATAGAACAATACATCTGATAACAATCATTTTCAATTACTTAAATATACATACATTATTGTATTTGTATGAACATATCATTCATCAATGTACACTGTTTCTTCTTTATGTCCTTGTTCAAAACCAGCCAGTAATAATTGTGCGGCAAGTCTTGCTCGCATAGCTTCAGGGATATCATTCGGAGGATTAACCAGCAATGTTGATCGTCCTTTAATTATGGATTTTACAAAGAGGTAGACGAACACACCACAGTCAAAGCTGCAACATAGAGTGAGTTCATTAGACATTTTCGGTCCGTTCGAATACTATAACACAAATTTGAACAATATAGACATCGGAACTAACCGTCCTCTTTGTTGCTCGCATTTGATGGCTTGATATCTAAATATTTGGCGCACATTGTCTTCAATAAAATCAGCATGATGGGCATCAAAGAATTTTATGATTTTATTAACAGGCTCCATCCAAGCTTCGTGCCCAGCGGAGCTGTAATGCTTGACGACTTTATCTTTAAGGTCAACTTCTACAAGATGCCAATGGTCGTCCCTGACCAAAGGGATCAAGAGATGCTCTATGCGGTATGCGGTATATTTGTCAATGAAGTTCAGATAATGCTCGTAATTGTTCACCTCCAAGCCATAGAGTGAGTGCTGCAAACACATCATGTTTGAGTTGAAATTAAAACAAACATGAGCTGCGAAGGCTAACTAACACCGTATTAATTAGAACTAACACGCTACAGAATAGAACTAACACTGTGCAGAATAGAACTAACACTCTACAGAATAGAACTAATACTGTGCAGAATAGAATTAACACTCATCAAAACCTTTGTTATCTACAATAAAATTTTATCTACAATAAAATTTGGTTAGGCTCTCAATTTGAGCTTTGTCGAGTCTTTCTGCTACGGGAGATGGTATCTTTAAATTATGTACAAAAGTACCTGTGCTATCTATTATGCGTAAGTTAAACAATGTAGGGTCTGGAAGCTCATTATTCAGCTCTCCCAATAGAGCTTCCTCTTCATCTGTCATTGGCTTCAAACTCAACGCATCAAAAGTGGGGATTTGATTACCGGGGTAAAAATGAGTAACTTTTTCAGCTAGTTTTACTTTTGGTTAAGGACTTTCAAGTATATCTATACTAATTTTTTCCTTTTTCTTTCTTTTGCCTTCAGTATATGGTGTCCTCTTCCATTTAGATCTCCTGCTTACCCTTCTTGGCCGTGGTCTACGTTTTGCTTCCACATTGGTCGCTAGAACTTCTACAAGTTTGTCCACATCATGTTTAATATTCACAAGATCCTCTTCCTCCTGTGCTTCCAACTTATCTACATTCTCCTTCTCTTTATCTACAATATCTTCCTCCTTATCTACACCATCAACAGGATCCTCATCAAAACCTTTGTTATCTACAATAAAATTTTCATTTTCCATATGCTCCTCTTCCTTATCTACCATACGCTCCTCTTCCTTATCTACAATATCTTCCATATGCTCCTCTTCCTTATCTACCATATGCTCCTCTTCCATATGCTCCTCTTCCTTATCTACCATATGCTCCTCTTCCTTATCTATAATATCTTCCATATGCTCCTCTTCCTTATTTACACTATCCTCAACCTTAGTATCTACAGTCTGGTCAACCTTACTATATACCCCCTCCCCTGGAGAAGTAACAGGCTCCTCTTCTATTGCCTCATCGTCAGCAGGATGCTTCACATCCTCTTCAACAATCTTATGTACATGTTCTTGCATGGTGGGCTCTTCCTTATATACACTGCTTGTTTTGGACTTCTGCTCCTCTTGAGCTTCCCGTCGCTTCTTCCTAATTTCATTCTGCATTTTCTGTTTGATATTTGACTTAAGAAGCACCGGGTCTATAACCTCATCATGTCTTCCATATTTTTCAATTATCTTGTTAAGCCTGTTGATCTCAATCACGAATTCTTTACAATATTTGCTCTTGGTCTGCTTTGTAGCAACAAGAAGTCGCTTGAGAAATTTAGCAGAATTTCTCCAAAATGTGAGTTGCTGCTCAATGGGAAGAACATTGATCTCCTCTTCATCGTCAAAAGCAACGTCAATATGCTTTGCCATGATCTGTTATTGATACAAGATTATAATTTTAAGTAGGATTAAACATAATTAGGATATTCTTTGCAGTTAGTGTGAAATGAGTACGACTTAACATAACAGGATACTTACGTAACCTATTGAGAAGTTCTTAGTAGTTTCTTCCTAGAAAGCCTTCCTCTTTGCCTGAAGCTTTTGCTGAAGAACTTCACCCCTCTGTACAGCGGGACCTTCATCCCTCTGTTCAGCGAGAAGTGAATGAACATGACCTGGAGAAGCGACCTCCGCAATAGGCCTATGGACAAATGTTATTGACGCTGACTTAGCCTTTGAAATAATTGTCGGCATCCTCATAGATGCGATTTTCACCTCCCCTGATGCCCAATTTGTCATTGGAGGTCTGGAGGTGTCTAAGAGGGCATATTTCTTTATGCCTGTCATCTCGTAGTAGGGGTGGAAGCGAACCAAATAATTAACAAATAGTTCGATAATTATTCGAGTAATTATTCGGTCATATTCGATTCGGTAGTTCATTTACCACTAAACAAATATTTTTTAGTATTCGAGTTTACTAACAAATAGAATTTAACCAGATGTATATTCGATTCGTTTGTCTATCAAATATTCGTTTAAAATTTGATCACTTATTATTTGTATTATTTCACATATGATGTCATATTTTCAACCTATTTACCATTTATACTAAAGTTTTATGTACTGATTTTAAGACTTAAACTAAACTCAAATTTATTTTCTAATGAAAATTTTGATTTAAATATACATACATTACTTATTATAAAGGAATATTTTTTATTTATGAATTTAAATTTTATTTGAAAATCAAATTCTTTAGCGGAATAAATATACTTTGATATTCGAAAAATATTCGTGAATATTCATGAATATTTATCAAATACCAAGTATTCGAGTTCGAATTCGAAAAACTCCATACATGAATATTAGAGTCTGCATTCGAATTCGATAATTTTAAACAAATATAAATATGAACACTTTAGTATTCGATTCGATTCGATCATTTACCACCCCTATCTCGTAGTACCAAAGTTGTACCAAATATATTTACCATTAACATTTAATACTAGACTAGACCAAAGAGAATAAAATATGGCTGCATCTAGAACTAACATGGTGTAAATTAGTACGTGGTACGACATGAATTATGATAGAACTAACATGACCTATGATAGAACTTACATGGGTGCAAATAGAACTAACATGGCATATCTTAAAACTAACAAGGTGCAGATTAGAACTCACACGCTACAGACAGATTAGAACTAACACGCTGCCTATCTTAAAACTAACAAGGTGCAGATTAGAACTCACACGCTACAGACAGATTAGAACTAACACGCTGCAGAATAGAACTAACACTGTGCAGAATAGAACTAACACTCTACAGAATAGAACTAACACTGTGCAGATTAGAACTAACACTCTACATGATAGAACTAACACTGTGCAGATTAGAACTAACACTCTACATAATAGAACTAACATTGTGCAGATTAGAACTAATACTTTACAGAACGGAACTAACACTGTGCAGATTAGAACTAACACGCTACAGAATTGAACTAACATAGAATAAGTTAGAACTAACAATGCATAGGTACGAAATAGAATGAAACAAGATCAGTAAAATATGGAACTTACACATAATAGTGTCATGCAACCTGGGACATATGCGACCCTTTGCTTCTTCTTTCCCTCCAAAGCAACTCCAATGCCCCTGATAATTTTATTATAAAAGAACGGGGCCCATGCAACAGAATTAACCCTCTGAATGCTATCCAGGTACCTGAGTAAGGGTCTAGGGATACCTTCCCCTGCTATGGGACTCCATATCATAGAGCATTGGTACAAAATTTGTAGTAGAACAAAATCCTCGATATCCCGCTTTTTTATAGATTCAACTAGCCGTTCAAGTAGCCCTTCAAGATGTTTACGTTGCCTGGTTTCTGCTTTTTTTAACTTCTTACCCTCTTCAGAAATGAAAAGCTTAGCGAAGTATTCCAGCCATATTCTGCTTCTTGAGTCCCTATTGTTCCTTATGTCCTCCCCATAAATTGGGAAATAAGTATGGTTATGGACCCATTGCAAATCAAAACTAACATTTTTCATACCCCCACTTTTTGAATCAGGTATACAAAAGGTGTTATTATCTCTGTCGAAAAAGCTCAGCAGCAGCTCAAGGGTGGGCCGATCAGGCGCAGGAGCCCCAAATAAAATGTAGTGCTGAAATATAGAACCGCAGTATGCATCCCTATGCTACTGACGGATCTTCGGGGCAATTCGCTTCATAAATCCCCAATAAGCCCCGATATTGGCCGTTAACCTTAGTGTTTCTGCTGAGCCTGTTAGAGCAATTTTTTCCCCGATTTTTTTTTTCGAATTTGTAAGTTCAATAAGACATATGAAACAATATTAGACCTAGCACTAACGGGAACAAAATAGAACTAACAATATTAGACCTAGCACTAACGGGAACAAAATAGAGCTAACACGTAATATTATAGAACTAACATTGGACTCAAACTAGAACTAACATTGGACTTAAACTAGAACTAACGTTGGTCTCAAACTAGAACTAACATTGGACAAAGCCTAGAACTAACAATATTGGGTTAATCTGCATTATCTCTTCGCGGTATAACATAACACTTACTGTTTTTTTGAGGGGGGTTTGTTGGTACGACCAGCCACAGCCTTCCTCCTTTTCTGGGCTCGCCATTGTATTGCCTCCTTTTGCATTTCGATGAGGGTTTGCGTAGCTTCCGTAGCTTCCTCCGCGCTGCAACCCGCAGATGAAGCGTCTTTTCCTTCCAACTCGGCTCGGTGCCCGACCTCGTAGTCGTTACTGGATTCTTCCGTAGACGACATTTTTCCGGCGAAAACCCTAGAAACGTTGAAATCCGTACAGAAATTAGGAAGATGAAGAGTTTTTGATGGCGGTGCTAGGTGGAAGAGAGAGAAAGAGAGGGAGATTACTTGTAAAGGTGAGGGGCACATTAACCCAGCTTAGTCCTATCAGAGGGCAAGATCGTAACTTCCTCTGGGCTTTTTCTGAAAAAAGTCAATTCGGGGCCTCGTCACAAATACTATACGTATTTGGGGCTATTCCACATGGGGCAAAATACAGGGGGGCTAGTCACACGAAGTTCCCACTTTTAGGGCCTGGACATGTAGGTGTATAAAACTGCTTATAGGTCCCTTAGCACAGCTCAGCACAAACCGACGAACCATCGGGTGACGTATCTGAACACGAGCGTTAGTCCACAACACCGAAGCCAAGTGACACGCAACGAAGCGGATTAACGAGGCGACGAAGTTAACGAATCGCACGCAAGCAACGGAATGCATCCATTCGCGTGCGGAATCAAGCCAACGATTCAGGGAGTCAACGAGTCATTCAACCATAGAACGGATTCGAACTCAAACACCAAGGCAGATTTACTGCCAAATCAGGATCCAGACTTCCAAATCAGAGTCCAGATCAACAATAAAACTTGGATAAACCGCGAAACCATAAAACCGGACAACGGACGACACGGCGAAAACCCGGGGAAAGAGCTCGGCACTAAGCCATCTAGGCGGCTCGGTGAGCCGAGCCACCAAGTGGTGGCTCGGTGGATAAACCGTGAAACCGGACAACGGACGCAACGACGAGCACCCGGCCAAAAACCAAGCCACCCAAGGGTGGCTCGGTGGCCGAGCCACCCATGGGTGGCCGGCCACCTGTGCCAAGGCACAGGTTCGAGTGCCTATAAATAGGCTCAGGGGGGCTCATTTGTGAGGGGTTGGAATTTTTGACGGCGAAGCTCTGCTGAATTGAGATCTGAACCTTGGAGATTTGAAGCTTTGAAGACTTGTTTTTTCAGATCTGGTGCTCGGCGATCGTCCACGTTAAATAAGGCAGGAGTTCGAGAGGGATCGGATCTGAGATCTATGTGATTATACTCCGGATCAAAGCTTGGCCTTTGATCCCAAGAAGGCTACTATTTCCTTGGTGAAATAGTACCCCCCGACTGTTATTTCCTTCGTGAGTTAACACCCATTACATCGTGTAGATCCGACCGGATCTAGATCGCGCGGTGGTCCACGGATTAACCCTGGCGCAGGCGAAGAACCCACAAAAGCGAGTGACCGCAAAACAGGAGCTCGTGATTCGTTCGAAAAAGGAAAGTTGTAATCTTTTTATTTTTTCTTTGATTTTATTGTAACCAGATCTTATAAAAAAGACCGGATCTTTTGTAATCGAAAAACAGTTACTTGAGAGAACAATGAAATCAATGAAGAAAGCTACGATTTTTCCTGCGAACAATCTGGCGACCACAGTGGGAGCCACCGATCTCGCTGCCGAGATCGTCGCGTCGCAGCCGCGGATCTCAATCCCGGTCGAGGAGGAGGTCGAGTATGAATTCGACCAGCAAAAGTTCGAGGAGTATCTTTCATCCTCGTCCGGATCTACCTCCCCCTGCAAGTCCAAGAAGTTCTCCTCCAGGAGAAAAGTTCGTTGGTTTGAAGAAGTTCAGAACGCCAACGAAGCTCTCACCCCAGCTGACGCCAAAGTTGCGTCGGGTGAAGTTCCGCCGACCTCCAACCAGGTCAACCCTGCTCCCGCCAACGCCTCCACCGTTGAGGGCGTTGT